ATATATATATAATACATACACACACACACACACACACACACACACACACACACACATATATATATATATATTATATATATATAATATATATATATATATATATATATTAATACATACACACACACACACACACACACACACACACACACACACACACACACACATATATATATATATATATATATAATATATATATATATATATATATATATAATGTATGTATATGTATATATATGTATATACATGTATATATATATATATATATATATATATATATATATATATATATATTATATAATATATAATATTATATATAATATAATAATATATATGAATATATATATATGTATATAATATATATATATATATAATATATATATATATATATATATATATATATATATATATACATACATACATTATATATTTACACACACACACACACACACACACACACACACACACACACACACACACACACACACACATATATATATTTATAGATGGATAGATAGATATTTATAAGTCGATATTTGAATGTAAACGTGAGTATATAGGCGGCTGAGGATTAATATTGCACTTGCTGTTTGCTAATAGTATGCAAATTGTGTACCTTACAATAGAGTTAACTGAAATTCGGTCAAGATGATGAATTGCTACACTTTACACAAATATTTTTTTTCTTCAATATTCCATATGAAAGGCATGCGAGTCAAGTGCAAGGCCACCGGGAGAAGTGTGCACTAGGACGGCGTATATAAAAGGACTAGTTTGTTAGCAGCATTCACAAGTGCCCAACATGAAGCTCCTGGTAAGTTATCAGATGACTAGCACTGTTGCCTTTAGTACTATGAAACTTCTATTCATATTTTCAAATCGTAGTAACTTAAAGGAAGATTATGTTATTTGAAGATCTTATTCATATTATCCTTTTCATCATAATCGTTATAACTATAATCAATATTATTGATATCATTATTTTGTTATTCCTAATGTTACTTTTATCATAATTTCTATCATTATGAATTATATTTTTATCTTTACTATTATCATTATCTCTCTCAATAACATTGTTATTATTATCTTTATCATTATCATTATCCTCAAAATGGACTCCTACAAAGCATCCAATAATGCTGGAAAGTAAGAAAAACTTATTATTGCATATAACTCTCTTTACAGGTGATCTCAGTGCTTGCCGTTACGGCGGTTGCGGCGCCTCAAGGGTACAGTCTCACCGAACCCAGGGGAGCTGGTCTTTCAGGAGACAGAGGACACGCAGCTGTTGGTGATGCCTTTGCAGGTGTTAGAGGTGGAGAAATAGAATCCTCACTTATCACTGATATTTCCGCTGGTAGCAAACCCTCAGAATCCGAAGCAGATGCTGGTTTTCCATTGACTGCTGGCCTCGCTACTGAATCTGAATCCTCTGTAGGTGTAGTTGAAACTGCAGGTCACTCTTCCTCTACCGCCACTGAAATCACTTCTGATGGGATCGCCGAGTGCCAGGAGGGAGAGGTTCGGCATGTAGATGGCTCCTGCGTCCTTCCAAAAATCACAAGGAAAGTCTTTGTTGTTTCCGTTCCAAAACAGGAACAGGAACGCGCAGACTCTATTCCAGACCTTCCTCCACCAAGAGTAGAACACAATATTCTCTTTGTACGTCTACCCAAAGGAGGATTTGGCCCAGAACCCATTGTTGTTCCTCCACCAAGGCAAGAAAACATCATCTACGTCCTTAGCAAGCAAGGAGATCAAACCCAGCGCGTGATCGAGGTACCAGCTCATCCTCCTTCTGAACCAGAGATTTACTTCGTTAACTATGATGAAGGAGATAACCCAACGCTGCCCGGAGGTCTAGATCTGCAGACTGCTCTTGGTTCGGCAGTAGTTTCTGGTGGGCAACGCTTGGGTACCAACACTGCCTCTAGGGCAGCAATTGAGGATCACAGCAACGTTGGAGAGAGCAGCAGCACTGAAGTAGATGTTAGTGAAGACTTCCACTCAGGATTATTTGTTTCTGAAGCTGGAAGAGCTGCATCCACTGGCACAAGCGCAGACAACACTGGAGACAGTCCATCCGGTCTTTACGGTACTCCGTGAACAGAAATTAGGTAGATGATTGTCTCGTAAATATGCAAAGAACGTCATGGTTTGGGTTATTTTATTTCAGATATTCATATACTGCATGCGGAAATAATAAAATCTATGATGAAAATTGCTTTGTCATTACAATAGTCAAACATATTCTTTAGATTCCATAACCTTGATTTTTTTTTAGGCCTAGCTATCTTTACAAAATTCACATGCTCATCAAATTATCAACTTTTAGCCAAATGGCAGCATGAATGTAAAATAATATATTCAGAATCCGACACAGAAGTTAAATTATCAAGAAAAAATATGTATTTTCCAACTTTGATGTTTTCCTCCAGTAAATAGCAGAAAAACAATGTTTTATGCACGTTAAGATCCTTATCCATATGTTTGGAATTCAGTGCCGACGCTGTTATTCTAATCGGTCATTCTGTAAGCAACGGATTATTAAATTATGTAAAACAATATTTTCCTTCCTATCAGAGTTAATATGTTGACAGTAGCACAAAAGGAAAGGTATATATATATATATATATATATATATATATATATATATATATATATATATATATTATATATATATATATATATATATATACATATATTATATATATATATATATATATATATATATATATATATA